GGCAACATTCAGGACATTCGAATCGAAAGTAAAATTTTATTATAATCGAGGATAGTACATCGAGACTTTCCACCATCGCCAAGGGCCAGGGGGCAGCTCTTGACGGATGGTCTAGGCCCATATCGCGACCGGTGAGGTAGTCCAACAGTATGCTACCCGCTCACTCCCTTAAAAAACCTTAGAGATTTTAGAGCTATGCTACCACTAACCATTACAATATTTGAAATGTAGATACTTTTTCTAGCACAAAAGATCTACCTAGTTATAGCCCTATACATGAGTGGCTTATGACAATCTAAGGTCCGATCATAGCCCTATACAAGGTTAGCTCAAGACATTATAGCTGGTACTTTGAAAGAAGTTTAGCATCTTTTTGTAACAAAACATGTTTTCATCTTCGATCAATGATTAATGTAAAAAATTATTAAAAAAAAACATAATGTATCATATCTCAAACACATATCCAACATCCTACGCCGAGTGCATGTAACATAAATAAACATATTTTCCAAAAGAAATTGACTTATTAATATCTTCATTGTTCAAATAAATCGTTAATGCTGAATAGAATGTTATCAGAAAAAGGTGGAAGGCCATATGGACCATCCCTGGAAACAAAGTCGCTGTGTCCTTGGTTCCAGTCCAAAGAATGAATCATGATGACTTATAAAAATTTACATACCTATACCATGGACACGTTGACCCAATTGATAAAATCATTAATTTTTTAAAATAATAATTTAACTGTCCTTCATCCCTATCTATAAACACTAGTTTTAAACAAAAATATCAAAAGTACAAAAACACAAGGCTCCGCTGCAATTGTAAAGTAGATTTAATAATTTTAAATATTATATTATAATATTATATAAAAATAATATAAAAATTTTGAAAATAATACTCCCTCTGTTTTTAAATAATTATCCTTTATTAATTTTTTTATCAAAATAATTCTACTTTGATTTTATTTTTTGAAATATAATATTAAATTAAAATTTAAAAATATATTTTTTAAAAATTTTAAAACTCAAAATTTACTAATCTTATTTTTAAAAATTTTTTATTTTATTATTTTATTAAAAATAATGGTTAAAGTAAAGTTGTTTAACCAAAAAATTTAGTAAGGACAAAATTTTAAGATAAAAAGAGTATAATTTAAAATTTTAATAAAATTTATATAAATTCAATAAAATAAATAATATATTTTAATTTAATTTATCTATTTAAATTATAATATGATAATTTTTATATTTTATACATTTAATATAAAAATACAATATAAATATTTCAATTATTTGTAATTGTGCAAAAATGGTAATCAATAAAGATGTAAATGATATATTAGTACTAGTAAGTTACTCAAGTTCGATTCGAATAAAATTTGAATTCAGTTTAATTATTATTGAGTTAAGTTCGAGCTCGAATAGTTCGACTTATCGATCGAACTGAGTTCGAGTATTCTTATATTCAGTTCGAGTAATTCGTAAATCTAATCAAATTTTTATATTTAAATTTTTTTATTATTTTAATTAATAAAATATCTCGAATTTGAACTTAAACTCAAGCACAAATAATCGAGCTCTTATCGAATATAAGAATCGAGTTTATCTTTATATATTTTCAAACTTAATTAAACGAGTTCGAGTAGTTTGAATTTGATCATGAATAAAATTTGAACGAAAAAAATAAAATTCAATCAAATTTAAATCGAATATCAAATCTCAAATTAAAAGTCAAATTTAAATTTTTTATTGTATCAATTTCAATCGACTGATTATACTCACCGGTCACCACCTCCCAATTTTTTTTTTCTTATTTCTTTATTATACTGTATTTACGCGTCCCCTTTTTGGGGCTTTTTATTATTATCTGAAAAGAACAAGAAGGGGGCCCTTATCTCGCCTCCTCCCACGTGCAATAATGCTTTCTTCTGCATCCCAATTTCCCCAGTCTCTCTCTCTCTCTCTCTCTCTCTCTCCCCCTCCCTCCTCTGTACGGCACTTGAAAAAATTTTTGAGATCCCAATTTTATATTGAAAAATAAAATAAAATAAAGCATTTCCGTTATTTGTATTCCTCATGGTTTGCTGCACATGCAAATCCATTTTTATCAATGCAAGGAATATTGGTTTTTATTTATAATATTACATGATTTAAAAAAAAAAAAAGCTTGATAATGATGACAATGGTTGATTTTTGCCTGTCAAATTCTTCTCTATCCTTTGGTTTTTTGTTATAACTTATATATATGATGATTTAAAAGGCTTGACAATGATGCCAGTTATTTCCTGCCTAAATAAAGCATGACATCAAACAGTTACACAATAAAATGTAGTTTTAAAATACTTGAAAGAGAATTAAATTTGAATAAAATTTAAAAATATCCTTATTGTATTTAAAAAAATCAAGCATGATAGTTAATATTTTAGTTGTAGAGATGTTAAAAGTTGTGATTATATATTTAGAGTTTATTTTGATAGTTGATAAGATCAAAAATAATAATAATTATTATTATAATTATGATTAAAAAATATTATAATTATAATTAAAATTTTTATATTAAATAGATTTCGTTGAAATTAATATTTAAATTTAATTGATTATAAGATAAATTTAATCATGTCATATTAAAGATATAATAAAATAAATTTATATTAATAAATTTTATTAAAATTGATATATAAATTCATCTGATTATGCAATAAATTTAACCATACCATCCTAAAAATATAGTAAAATCCATACCCCACTTAAATAATAAAATCAAGGTAGTTAAGTTGGTGAATTTTACAAGTACATAAAAAAATTAGATAAAAATAATTTTTAAAAAAAAAAAAACTTTAACTTGACAGAAGGGGTACTGAACATGCCTTGTTGAACTTTTCAACTAATCATGATTAATATTCTTAAGTACTTTTGATTAGAAAAACCCAACATAAATGCCAACATGAGATGATGGAAGGTACCAAGAAACTTGAGAAAAAAAAAAAAAAAGAGAAAAAGAAAAAAATAATAATAAGGATCACGTTACCCTCCATGTGAGTCTGCTTTGGGGACAACGCAAAGAAATGGGTGGGCTCTTATAAACAGTTCACATGGTAAGGAGAAAGGACATGATTCTTACAACTTCGCTTTCTTTCACAGCTCATCGCTACCCCAAAATCCTACATTTTCCCACTATGAACATTTATATATATATATATATATATTTATATATTTATATTTAGAAAGAATGTAGAAAGTTTAGGAGATAGAAAAAAAAATTATAATTGTTGAAAATCAAATCTTAATTTATCTAAAATTCATCTCTTAACATATATGAAAAAATTTATAATTTTTCTCTTATAAACATCACCATATTATTATTATTATTATTATTATTATTACCCATAAAAATTAAAAAGTAAAAGAAGTTATCTTATTTTTAAAAAATTGTCAACCCATTTGTAATTTACGAATCCATAATATTTTTATCTATAAAATTTTTAAATTTATAAATCATCTATTAATAAAGAACTATGAGGAGATTCAAACTTAAGTGTGTGCATTCACTCCTTACTGCTTATGTCAATCCTCAATTGGCTATTGTTATTATTATTATAGATTTTCATCCCATGTGAACAAAATGAGCTGTACTCAATTTGCCATATATTGATTTAAAGGTACATGTGCATTTACAAATGTAGAGATAAATGGAATAATTAATAATCTTACTTAAACCCTTTTAATTAATAACTAGCTAGTCTTAATTAAAACTTATTGTTTCACATCTAGATATTGTTATATACATTTATAGCTTTTGTTTTCTGTTCTTTTAACCTAAGTTTCCCAGCAACTTTCAATAACAATGGTTTACCAACAATTTGGTATCACACAGATGGTATAGAATTCATTGAAAGGCTCTGACTATGTATAATTCCAAATTAATATATCCTAGAAATGGAGCATCTATTTTTCTTTTTCTTTTTTATTTTGGTACTCCCTTTGTAACAATTAAATATATGTTGATTTAATTCAATCGTATAAGCATAAATAAAACGGATTCGAATACATAATTTTAAAAAATTATCATATTTTGATAAATTTAACATCCTTAAATTATATAAATTATTTATGAAAATAAAACAATTTTATGATTAGTGTATAAGTTGATATTAGTAAATTAAATAGATGTGAAAAGGAAATATATCTATATAGTCAATGAAAATCAATATAAAAGAACTTTGTGGCTGTGTAAGACTCGTGCCATAATTGAAAAAAGAAAAAGGGGGCATCTAATACACAAATGCATATACCTAATGTTGGAAACATTAGATAATGTTTATATATATATATAGTTGATGCCAAGGAGAGGGGTCACATCGGCACGTGGTGATGCTGATTCCTCCAGTTATTAAACTCACGCTGCGACTTTCCGAAGAAACCCCTCTCTCCCTCGGACCCCCAGCCCCAGCTGTCGCTAGCTGTCCCTTATCTCCTCCCATGTGACCCACCACCATCCCTCTTCCAAGGGGTCCTTAAAATAAAGAAAAAATAAATAAAAACTACATTAAAAAAACAATACGACTAAAATCCCATAGAGAAAAAAAGGCTGAAGAGAAAGAAATGTTAAGCATATTAGTATAATATTAGGCAAAGATGGTAATTTATAACTATTTATTTTATATTAAATATATATAAAATAAAAAATTATCATATCTTAATTATGTTGATATGTTAAATATAAAAATATTTTTTTAATTATTATTAAAATTTTAAATTATATTATTTTTATATCGAGTTCAAAAATATAATATCTGCTTCAAAAGAATGTGATATGATATTTGTATTGGGTCCTCTTCCTTTTTAGTAGCATCCTCTCATGTTTTTTTAGGAGTAATATAAAGATTTTGCAACATTTTATTGCGTTGGTTTTGTATATAGTTAGTTGGTTAGTTTTGTTGATTAAAGATTAGCTTTGTTTTTTGTGCTTGATATATTGAGTGTGTGGTTTTTCTGACATTAGCTTAGAATGGCACATTTACCTCCGAAAATACCCAACATCACCCAAAATTGGCCTCCTTTTCCTCATCGAAGAATGCCCACAATGGCAAACTTCAATTCCGCCACCCCCACTATGAATGATTCTAACCATCAGACCTCTTGGGTGGACGAGTTCCTCGACTTCTCATCAGCCCGTCGCGGAGCCCACCGCCGTTCCATTAGCGACTCCATCGCCTTCCTTGAGCAACCATTGGCGGAAGAATGTAGGGGCTCCAATGCCATGATAACAGATGTCAATATCTTTGATCGCCTGGATGATGAGCAGCTCATGTCCATGTTTTCTGATGATGTCGCTATGACCGTCGCGGCGCCAACGGTATCTTCATCGAATCCTTCAACACCAACGTCGGATCAAAATAGCAACAATGACGAGAAACCATTATCATATTGGGATCTGCAACAACCCAAAAATGAACCAGGAGAGGTAGAGAGCTCATGCAAGCTTGAAACTCAAGCTGCACAACCTCCACCAACTTCTAATGGCGATCTCATTATTGATCCAAAGAGGGTTAAGAGGTAAAAACACACAAATTAAACAATAACAACACCCATTTTCTTTTCTTTTCATTATCTTATCAAAAGAACTAATTATTAAAATTTGGGTGATGATCAGAATTCTAGCAAACCGGCAATCAGCGCAAAGATCAAGAGTGAGAAAGCTGCAATATATTTCAGAACTTGAAAGGAGTGTAACAGCATTACAGGTACATACATAGCAAACTTATATATTAATAATTAATTGATTTTATCTAATTTTTTTGAAAAATGGATATTTTTTATTTAAATTTGTTTTAATTTTGATTTTTATTTTGGTTTAATGCAAAAATGAAGACTGAAGTATCAGCATTATCACCAAGGGTTGCATTCTTGGATCATCAAAGACTGATTCTCAATGTTGATAATAGTGCTTTAAAGCAAAGGATTGCTGCTTTGGCTCAAGACAAGATTTTCAAAGACGGTAGGACTTGTTCTTTAATTATCGATTACTAGTATAACAAGTTTAATCATAAACATGATTATTATTGTTTTCTATAACTTATGTCTAATTATATATAATGAAACATGGAAATTGTATTTTTGAAGGAAAAATTAATGCTTTCCCATCTCTAATATATGAAGGCATGTAATTAGTTCTATCATAATATATGTATGGTATCAATGGTGACAACAGACAATAAACTTATGATTGGATCTTCATTAGAACTTACCTTTTTTTTTCTTTCAATTAATGGAAAACAACCATATGAAGAAGAAGTACAATTTACCCATTTTTATTAAATGTTTTGAAACCTTGATCAGCTCATCAAGAAGCACTGAAGAAAGAAATTGAGAGACTAAGGCAAGTGTATCAGCAACAACAAAGCCTCAAGAAAATAAACACTAGCACCAACAACAGCACCAGCAACAGCCACCATGCACCACCACAACAACAACAGCAGCCCGCCGCCGCCAAAGAATGAAGATATAAGTTGATCAGAGGAAACGAGCGCTACAGATCAAAGGAAAGGCAATGAGAAGATATGGTGCACAATGAAAAAAAAAAAAAAAAGGCAATGAAGCTATCTAACAATGGGGGTGTTAGGGGGCATAGTTTTTCATGTGATGTGTTTCCCAAATGCTGTCTTTCTATGTAGTGTAGGGCCCCTCAAGACCAAAATTTGAAGTGCCAAGAACAGGGAAATGTTGATGTGGGTTTAATATTTTATTAGGGGAATTGAATTGCTCTTATGTTTTTTTTTAATTTATGACGATGAAAATAGTTTAATTTTTTTTTAAATTGTAATTAATTGGGAGGCAAAACATGGTGGGGATTTTAGGGTGTGGGGTTGTGTTTGGGATGGTGAAAAGAATTTGTGTTGTCAGAGACAACTGGTGGTTAATGTCTGATTGTTCGTCAAAAGAAGAAAAAAACTGATTGTTAATTTCTTTCTCTCTTCTTTTTATATTATTTTATATTTATTAATTTGTTTAGAAATATTAAAAATAATAAATTACTAAACCCGAGGGACCATTATATTTTGCTTTGTTTTTAACCCAAACTTGACCACTTCTGATTGCGTTGGTAATTCTTTTTCCATAAGCTCTTATCTTTCTTCGTATTTATTCAAAAGAAATTATCACGTTTATTGATAGTAAAGTTTAAAAATTTTATTATTAGAATTAGTAAAATGATATATTTTTTAGGATATAACAAAAATAAAAAAATAAATGAGATACGTGACAATTTTTTTACTTCATTTATTAAATTAAAAAATTAAAATTTTAAAGGATAAAAAATCAACTCTTTTTAATCACTTCTACATATCCTAAATTTAATCATAATCATCTTAAATTTGCGATTCTTGACAAAGATTGACAAATGACTAGAAGACATTTTGTCTTTATCAATCAAATTTATAAATTTTATTGCAAAAAATCTCAAAGATTTTGTCAAAATGAAAAAAAAAATTAAAATTGAAAATAAATATCAATAGATTGATCATAAAGTTCAAAGACTAGATCAAATATAATATTTAAAAAAATTAACTAAAATTAATACTCATAAATAAGACTCAGATAATATATAGTTGATGAATGATGAAAATTAATAATTTTTAGTTAAAACACTTAATAAAAACAACATAATTTTTTCAATTTTTGTATAGATGATCTATAAAATCAATCAAATTTACATTTTTGAAACAAATGCCTCTTTTCTATTATCCTTAACAATTTTAATCAATTTAGTTATAGAGTTCAATCCTTTTATTTTTGGTTTCGTTTCCCATCAAACAGTCAGTGTCTCCGTTACAGTGTCATGTGCATGCATTAAATTCTTATTGCTCATTTTTATGGGTACTGATTTTTTTTTGGTAAAAAAATTTTTGAGATACATAAAATTTTTAATTTTTTAGATTAAAATAAAATGTATTATATTTAACAGTCAAAATAAGTGATTGTATATCATATGTTCGAAATAATTTCAACAAATAATTATCAATAATATTCAAATTCAAAATATTTTCGTTGATAAAAATAAATCTTAATCAATCGAATCAACCACTTATCGACGGGTAGGATACTTATTTTTAGACATGTTTTGGTTACCTCTCCCATAAATGAGTTATCATATCCCTCAACAGATCAAAAGTAATAGAAGTAACAGAATAGTGATACCAACACGGTCTGCCCTCGATGTGGAATCCATGAAGAGATGGTGATACACGCTTTAAGGGATTGTCAAAAAGCAAAGGACATATGACTCTTTGTTGATGCGGATAGATGTTGGACGGGTAACTTAGATGCTGAAGACAAAGGATGGCTCTCTAGCTTGGCCAACTCCATGACCAGTGAAAGCTTCGAAAAGGACTTGTGATCTGTTGGGCTATCTGGCATAGCAGAAACGAGCTGATGAAGAAGAAGGTGCTCAGAACTGCTCAAGAAACTGCAAATTTTGCTCTTAGCTATCTGCATGAAGTTAAGGGTAGTCAGGACCGGGCAGATAGACAGCTGGAAATCACCACAATCTAGAAAGTGCCACCCACCAATATTATCAAAGTTAATTTTGATGGGGCCTTACATCTCACAGAGGCCACTGGAGGTATTGGGATAGTGGCACGAATTGACAGAAGGGAAGTCCTGAGGGCTGCTTCAAAACAAATAACAGGAATTAGACAAGCTGTAGTGATCGAAGCATAAGCTGCTGTGGCTGGCATTATCTTTGCCAGGGAACTAGGCTTCACAGAGATAATATTGGAAGGATATGCAGCTGAAATCATCTCCAAACTTAACCAGCAAACTAAGCATCTGTTAGCAGTAAGCAATATCCCGGATGATGCATGGATGATGAGACAAGATTTCCACTGGTTTGAGGTTGCTTAGGTAAGGCGTCAGGCGAACGAGGCAGCACAAAAGCTAGCCAGGCTTGTTTTAGGTTTAGAGAGTGATGCTTTCTGGGTGGAAGATTTCCCTCCTATCATAGATGATGTTGTCAGAAGCAACTGTATTATCCCAAGACGCGATTAATGAAGATGAATTTATTCTCAAAAAAGTAGAAGAGAGATGATTAGCCTAATTATCCAAAAAAAAAGAGTTAATTAGACTATATATTTCAACCAATTGATAATTTGAAGGAAGAAAACACAAGATAATTAACAACATGGTGTTAATTGATCATAGTTTTTTGTGGTAAGGAGTAAATTTATCACTGCACTTACATGAATGATTTAAATTTATTATTAATTTTTTAATAGGTATAATTTTATCATTATATTTTTAATTTTGAAACAAATTTAATATCATATTTTTAATTTTGAAGCAAATTTGATCAAAATATAATAATTAAAAAATACTGTGTAAAATATTTCTTTAAAAGATTGGCTTATGATTAAGAAAAAAAAAAAATCAAGAATGGCATGATAGAAAAAAAATCATGAAACTAAAATTCAAAATTTTCTTTTTATTTCGTTTCTAATTTTCTATCATCATAGTATTTTTTATTAACTCTGATGTCAAAACATGGCTTTTGTTTTTATCTAAAATTAAAAGTATGGTAATCTAAAGTTCAAAGTCGAATATATATACAGATAAAACCAATATTCTTGCAATTCTGGAATATTTCCTCGTCACCATAGTTGAGTGAGTGAGAATTCCTACAAAGAATTTCTGAACTTGAAAACAGAATGAAAAAAATCTTGAAGAAAACTTTCTGAAAGAGATAACTTCTGTCTAAGCATCTTTGATGAAAACTTGTTCGTGGTGCCCATGGTAGGGATGAAAAAAAAAAATCAAAATAATAAAAAATTGATTTAAAATTAAAACATCTTGTTTGGTTTGAATTACATTTTTTTTATTCCATTTGGATTAAAATTAAATATTAAATATATATATTAAATACGAATTAAATTTTAAATCAGAACATAAAAAATAAAAATAAATTGAATTGAATCGAATCGAATTATATTATTATTAGTTTCTAAATTTTATAAAATAAAAATAATTATTTTATAAAAATTTATTTAAATATATTAAAAATTTTATTAAAATAATATATACAAATTTAAAAATCGATAAATCAAATCAACTAGTAAAATTTCATTTAAATATAATCAATTTTATAATAAAATTTTGATTTTAAGTCGGATTTTAAAAATTAATAATATTATATATTATTAAAAAATTAGAATCGGCTAATCTTTACTACCCTTACCTAGCAGTGATCGCTCAGGAAAGAGAAAAGGATGACATGGTAGCCTATCACTAGTCCGGCGTTCACAGGGATCCCCACCAAAGCATTTCATAAATAAAATTCTTTCCCTGCCATTGACATGTTTTCGGGTATATTTGGCGAATCACCTGACAATGCAAAATCTGCAGCGCCAGTTCTTCCAGGTTCCTGATAGAATCCCATGGTGGTTTCCTCTTATCGTCTCAACAACAACGCATCCTGGCGACCATATGCCCAAAGAAGCAGTAATTTTCCCATCCTTGACAGATTCACATGCTGTGTAACTTTCGGTACCTCGAAAATTCAGAAAGCTCCCATAAAGAGCATACTCAAATCGTGTCAGATTCATAATTTTTTCTGGGCATTCATTTATGACATATATGTATATTTATATAATTTTGGAGGAATTTATTAATTTTATTAATGGACAGAATATTCAAGAAAATTTTGGGAAAGTGAAAATATTTTCTTTTAATTTTTTTTTACTTTTTAATATTTGAAGGTTTTCATACGCAGCCTACTATTACATGTGAATCCCCCTTATACTCAAGAATTAAGTCGTAAAACAACACATTAGATTCAAGGGTAAACATATCCTTACAGCATTGAACAATACTAGGATAATTAAAAGCTTATTTGAATAGTCGATGAGATTAATTTTAATGAAATTAAAAATAATTATAATAATAAAATTATTAAAATTAAATATTATAATGATAAAATTAAATTAAATTATGAGATATACGTTTTGAATAACAAAATAAGAGTGATGATAAGAATCAAAATGACTATTAAAGATTTAACTCTAAAGGTATATTGATAAATTATTTTTATATATTTTAATATTATTTATAATATTTAAAATTTTAAAATTTTTATTCAATCAAAATATTAGTACATACTATTTATTTATTATATAATAAAATTTATCTGTTAATTTAATAAAATTATTTTAAAATGTTTAGATAAAAAATCAAAAAATGAAAAAAAAAGTTAAATTGAAAGAAAATACTCAAAATTTGAGGGAAAAAAAGTAAAAAAAAAAATTATGGACGTAAATGGAATAAGAGGTGTTGTGGGAATAAAAAAAAAATTAACTGAGCTTTTAATTCCGGTGGATAACCGGAAGCTACCGTGCCTTGTTGATATTATCCAAACACTTAAACAACGTCGTTTAGACCAAAAGCGAGAGAAAGCGTGCCTCACTGGCGTGTCAATCAGTGATCCAATTGGACTCTTAGAAATCATCTTTTAAAGGAGAGTCTTGAGGAAGGAATATATTTAAATGCAAGTGGGTATGTAAGAAACAGGGTCTATTAAAATCACCAACACCTACACATTTTACTACATTTGATTGATAACTTATAACAATAAAATAAAACTACATTTGATTGATGGATGAATTTTAAATAAATTTAAAAGATGATAAATTTAAAATCATTGATAAAAAATAAAATACTTTACAAATAGATGATGATGATCATCATCATGATTATGATCATCATCATCATTGTTAAAACAAAATTTAAATTGTGTATTTGCAAAATATATGATATCAAAAATATTGTACTTTAGGTTGATTTTTTAGAATAAAATTTATCAAAAACTTTTTAGGTAAAATTTGTAAAATTTTTAAAAAATAATTAAAATTTTAATAAAATATTAAAATTGATAGATTGATAGAATGTGAAGATTAATAATGTATAAAAACATATATAAATATTATTTATAATTTAAATTTGATTAATTTTTATTCAACGATAAAAATTTATTAATATTTTTACTAAAAATATCTATTTAAAAATTTATCTTAAACTTCCTTAAAATTTTTTTAAATTTTGTACACATAATGTATGTAATAAAATTTTTTAATTTATCGATTTTAATTTTTAATTTTTATTAAATTATTTTTAATTAAAAATTTCATAAATTTTTCTTAAAAACTTTTGTCTAAATCTTTCTTGATTTCTTATTTAGAACAAAGTACTATGATGAAAATTGAGAATAAATTTTCCCCCAAAAAGAAGCTGCAAACCAAAAACAAAATCCAAATGGACTTTTTTTTTTCATTGGACCAAAAAAAAAAAAAGAAAAAGAAAAATCCTTATGGTTGTGCATTCCTAAACACGCACTAAAAAAAAAAAAGTTTCATTGGGTCACTTCAAACTTTTTATCACTTTTTATTAGTCATTGTATTCATTATTGTCAATATCTTTTTTTCTTTGTTTCTTGTAAAAGAGATAAGTATTTGAATTTAAATTATTAGATTAGATAAATATTAATTTTTTAAAATTATATATGATATATAAGATAAGAGATATGATAATATGACAATTATTTTATATTATATTTAATTTATAATTAATTAAAATAGATAAAATTATAAAAAAATTATTATCGTTTTGGTATAATATAATTTAATTTTTTCAAAATAAAAAATTATTTTTAATTTATGTGATTCAACTTATATGTCTTACTATATTTTTAAAAATTTATATCAATAATTAAAATTATATAAATTTTAAAAAAATAATTTTGATTAATAAATAAATTATTTTATTTTAATTATTATACATATCAAATATAAAATAAAATAATATTATTTGATCTAATCTTATTTATAATATTATTTTATATTATCTTATTATAATTTTATGTATTAAATATGATTTAAAATAATTATTTTAAAGAACTATACTAAATTTGAAATTCTATTTAAACTTTATTTTGTCTAATTTTCCTATTTGCAACATTTGTTTTAAGTTGGGCAACTCTATCAACATCCTTATCCAATTCCATGATTCCTTCATGTCCTCTGCCCACTATAATTTGAAATTACTTATGTGCCCATATTAATTAAAAATAATATTTCTATGGTTGGGTTACCAAATGATTATCATAATCAAAATCTGGCAAAGATTAACAACAATATTATAGATTCAGTGGAGAATTTCAATTAATTAACGCATTACACTTTTCTAAAAGAAGTTATTCATTAACTTTAGCAATTTAATAACCAAATAAAACCAATAAATTTGGACTAACTAATCATAATAAATTTTGAATTTAAGACCTAAAAATTTAAAACTTTCTTAACATTGAGACAAGATCTCAAGAAAATTTTAATTATTCCACCATGGCTCCACAGGCAGAAACTTTAATTCACTTTTCTTATTGTCCTTTTCTAGACACTTCAATTAGAAGTTTTTTTTTTTTTTGTTGATCAAATCAATTAGAAGTTGCTTAATTGTTAAGATTAAAAAAAAATTATGGCAATCAATTAAAAAATCTAAGGACAAAAATGATAAAAACAAAACAAATTATTCAACTAGATTAACCAAATTCTTTTGTTTTTGGTCCATATGAAAACACAAAGTTCACAAAATGTATCCCAACAAGTTAAACAATTAAAGTTTAAAATTTCCCAAATCTCTCGAAATTTGAATTCGAATTAATATAGTATTATTGAGTAATAAAGTTCTTCGTATGATTAACCCAACCCTTATTTTCAAATTTCAATTATGAGTAATTTTTAAAATTAGAATATCAAGTTTTTAACAAAAAATGTCATAATGGCTATTTAATAATATATTTTCTACGTCCATTTTTTTGTTCAAATTTAAATTTTACGGATTTTAAAAAAATTTTGGCCACTTAGGTTATGAATTAATAAAAAAAATTATAAATGTTGAAATCTTAAATTTAAATCTTACATGGATTTAATTTAATTTTATATTAATTTATTATGTTCTAGTTTTTAATTGAATGTTAAGTGATTTTTATTTTTGTAATACTTGATTATAATTATTTTTTTACTAGTAATTTTATCACAAAAACTTTGATCTTTTTAGTATATTTTATGTTAAAATTTTAAAATTTTTTATAAAATTAATGTATCAAGATTTTTAATATCAAAAATAAAAAATAGTTTTAGAATATAAAAAAAGAAAATTAAATGTTTAAAAAAATAACATAATTTTTGGACATAAAAAGTAAAAAAAAAGTATAAAATTTATAATCTTTTATTGACATACTATTAGTGAATTACATAACTCACTACGTTATAAAAATAAATATTCATTAGAAAATATTAAAATATTTACTAAACAGAATGAGCTTAAATTCATGGCTACAAATTAAATATCTCAAATTATAGTACTTCTTTTCTCTCTAATTATTTTCCTTTCAATGATTTTTTTTTGATATTATAAATTCAAAAATTCTTATAATATTGATGCATAATGTTTTAATGTCAAAAATAAAAAAAAAAATCAATTTAAAATATTTCACCTAAAATTAATTTTATCCTTAAAAAATAAATAAAATAAAAGATATTCATTTTCCTTCCTGGTCCCCTCCTACTTTCCTGACGCAGTGTTCAAACACTATTGCACTCTTTCCTCGTCTTCCAGCCCTTTCCATTTCTATTTATAATCAAAATCTTCGATTTTTATTTTCAACTTTCAATTTTCAAACATTTCTTAATCCTTTCCACCTTATAAAAATTCTAAAAAAAAAAAAACCATGACTTCCAAATATTTCTTACTCCTTTTCTTGTTTCTCTTTTGTTTCTTTTCTTTCCCATCTCACGCTCGCTTCATCACCGGCCGTCCATCCCCAACCGTTCTCGTTTCCGATGGAATCTCCACTGTCAAAAACAACCCACCTTACCTCCTCCTCAAACCGCTGGTTTCGGTGGAGGAATCGTGTGAACAGACGTATGGGTTCTTACCCTGTACAACTACGGTGTTGGGAAACTTGTTTTTAATCATTGGTTATGGATACCTTATGTTTTTAGCTGCTACTTACTTGTCCAATGGAAGTGAGCTTTTGCTTCAGATCCTTGGTCCCGGGGTTGTCGGAGGATTGTTGTTGCCTATTCTTGGAGCTCTTCCCGATGCAATGCTTATTCTTGGTAACTTTAAAGTGTTCATTTTTGGAAAATTTTTATTGGGCTGTTGGGTTTACGAGAAAATGTGGTAATGCTCTGTTTGTTTGAAGAGAAAGTTAAGTTTAGTTATTCATTATTTGATTGATCAGAAAATGGATTTGAAAGAGCTGAAGGTTAAAGAAGTTTAGGTCTTGTCTTTTTTACTATGAAAAGAATTGAAAATTTATATGTTAATTCAGTTAACATTAACCCCGTATAGAGATTACAAATTTCGGGTTTAGTATAATTTTTAAATTTTGATTTTTTTGTAGGATGGCAGAGTTGAATTTTGTGTATACTATTTACTGTTGATTATTCTTCTTTGAAAGCTTTATTCTTTTCTTGTTGTACTTATGTTGTCATATTGTATGTAATAACCTTTTCTTATTTCTTTTTATGGTTCTCTTCTGTTTTTTTTTATTATTATTGGAATATCCAGGTTACTTTGATCTTTGGATATTGTTATTTTTATTTGCATGACATTACTTATAAAATTCTGCTTCTTGATCATGTAATTTAAACTTTTTGTATATTGATCCAGGTGGACAGAATCAATTATTGTTGTTTAGTGATCCTATGCTATTGCCAAATGTCTCTTACAAGGGAGTTTCAGTAGCCCTTTTTTTTTTTTTTTGGAGTCTTTCAAATGGGTTTATGAAGAAAAGAAAAGAAGTAGCGGTTGAAGTAATCTCCAACAAGTTCCTTGTTTTCTATGCTTGATCATTTGTGGGAGTTAGACACTTAAAAGGATTTTTTTGATGATTATATATGGGCTTCTATTATTTGAAGAGACTTCAGCTGCAACATGGAAGCTTTGGTGCCCATTTGATTAGTTGAACCTGTTTGGACTTAAGCAAATTCAATTTTTGACGTGGATAGAGGATGCTGGAAAAGAATTTAAGTGCTTCATTCTTCTCAAATTCAAGACTAACGAAATGAAGTTCTAAATTGTTTTTGAGTTTATGAAAATTTAGATGAAAGACATTTACTTTTCTATTGAAGGTTTTCTTTGCAATGGTTTATCTAACAATATAAATATTATATAATTTTTTAAATATGAATTAAAATTAAAAATTGGTTTCTTTGTTCTCAAATTTTAAGGGTTCTGTAATTTCCAGGAATTAGGCATTTCAGGAGTCTTTGATGGTTTTTATGGGTTTCTTCTATTTTGACAGCTTGCTGTATATGAAAACGTTACTACCATTTGTGTTCATTTTCTGGTTATGATGATTTAGGTTTAAAGTTGCAGTTTTTTTGTGGACTTACACAAATTCAACTTCAACCTTCTAGAGAATGAAAATTCTTAATTGCTCATTCTTCTCACAACTAAGTGATTTGAAGTTCTAAATCATAAATGAATTGCAAAACTTAGCTGAAAGACTTTCAAATTTTCTCTTAAAGGTTTCTTTTTAATGGTTTATCCAACTATAGAAATACAATATGCTTTCTTTAAATAATATATATGAATTTGTTTTATTTTGATTGCATTTATAAGCACGTGCATGTTTGGAAGTTTTCATGCCATATCATCTGGCTAATGTATTTAACTGTTTTATGTCTGGAATGCTTTTAATTGGGTTGTCTCTTTTTCTTCTCACTTCCCAGTATCCGGACTTTCTGGAACCACAGAAACTGCTCAAAGTCAGGTCTCTGTTGGAATGGGATTGCTTGCTGGGTCAACTGTCATGCTTCTCACGGTGATATGGGGAACGTGTGTTATTGTTGGCAGGTGTAATCTTCATGATTCAGTTGCAGTAGACGGAACAATTACAAAAGGATTTAGCCTAACAGGTGCATACCTCTGCTCAACATTATTATTAGCTAGTTAGTGCTATGAGGGGCTGAGAAGTTGTTTTACCATGCCTTCTGCTGCGGCCAACTGCATAAGATTTTGTTATCACCTTTTCATTCATTGAAACTTCCCTTGGATTTAATAGTGAAAATTGCTACACGAGGAAAAATTAGAGAATGGACAGATGCTCTTTTACTGTAGTCAGTCCTAGTAACCACTGTTGCTGTAACGCTCCCAATCCCACATCAGGAGAATGTGTGGATAAGGAATGATATATATGTAGAGACTTAATCCTAAACTTGTGAGAGACTTTTTGTGGGATAAAACCGTGAGACCTTCGGGTCAAAACGGACAATACCTCGCAGGTTGGGTGCGGGTCTCTACAAACGGTATCAGAGCGGTCACCAGTCCGCAGTCGTGGGAGTCACTAAGTGTTACACGGTGGAGCCGTGGGAGTCACTAAGTGTTACATGATGGTCTGGTATGATCTTGGTCCTGTGGATTGCTTTCTCTATTAGTATGTGTTATTATGTAAAGTGTGTTGATTTTTTTCCTCTCCTTCAATCAATATCTGTTAGCAATTATACCTTGTAATGCTATATCTTCAGAACCTTAAATTATTAAGTGGGGAATGTATGCTAGTATTTTAAGGTCTCAAGTTTCAATTATGGTCTAAATAACTTCAGTTGCGCTGGAAAATTGAGGGTGAGTGTAATCTTCAGATCATTCAACTAAGTACATCTGGTACTGGTACTTTTGTTTGAGCTAGTATCTTAAGATGTGATTATATTTTTTAGGTGGATGCCTAATCCCAAAGCTTTTACTTTTTCTGTCTCTTTTTTTCTTTTTTTCAATTGTCCCTAATCAAAAGTTTGTCCAATATTGCAGAGACTGGTGTCAGTACTGATATATGGACTTGCTATGCTGCAAGAATAATGGCTGTATCAGTTATCCCATTTATTATTGTTCAACTACCACAAGTTCTAAATTCAACTTCAGGAAGACACTTAGTAGTTTTGATTGCACTTATTGTATCAGTCTCAATGTTGGTTTCTTATTGCCTTTATCAGGTAATAATATCTTCCAGAAAGAAACTCTGTCATCATATGTTCCAATAGTTTATTTCCTTTTAATATTCTTTTAACTATTTATTGGATTATGTTTACAACTTTATTTTTAAATGTTAGTAGAAGTGAACCATATGCAAATAATGCGTGAAATGAATTAGTTTCTTCTTTCTTTCATTGAGTAATTTGGAAAGGAACAACCTATATTCTTTACCTTGCAGCAATTTCATTTTGGTTAATCTGAGTTTTAAAATAGGTTAGCCAACTAGCCGGTGGTACACCATTTGAGTTCTTCTAAACATTCTGCTTGAAAGCTAAAACTTGAGAAAAAGTAAATGAAACTTAAAATTGTTGCTTTTTTTGTTTACCAAGACCTGAAATGCCCCCTAGCTTTATGCCTTAAAGGTTCTGAATATGCTGTATTAATCACTCTGTATGGTTAGTATTATTACCGTGCTTTTGTTTTCCTACAGTGGAACCGGGAATCAATGAGTTGAAGTAATTCAACAGAAAATCCGAATCCAAAATGCTTAGCTATTATATAATGGAGTAGTTACTTAGTTCTGTTAAAGTGGTTTGCATTATATCAGGAAAAATTGAGCTTTCTTTTGTAGTTAAAAAAAATTCATACATAATGATTATGGAGGTTATTGATTATGTAATCTCAATTTTTGATCAATGGCAAATCAGTAATGAAGAAGACAATAAAATCCGAAAACCACCTCCTATTGCATGGTTGAAATGCTTTATCTAGTACAGAAGTCTTATGTCTGCCCGAGGTGGTAAATTTTTTCATTGTTTCTTTAGTTGTCTAGATTTTGAATGTGGGGGTTGTTCTGTTTAGTGCAGTCCTGAATAATCAGCTGATTTTTTTATTTTCTTATGATATGTATATATTTTGCAGGTCATTCAGCCTTGGATCCAGAGAAGACGACTTGCTTTTGCAAAGCACAAACATTTCATATCACAAATCTTAGTTCATTTGAAAAAGCAAGCTTTAGGAAAGCTTCTTACCGATGATGGTGAACCCAATACTGAGATTATAAAAAAGTTAGTTTTGAATTTTGACATTTAAGAAAAACTTACCTCTTCTGCTGGTACTTCCTGTCACATATCATGTACTCTTAACATTTACTAACTCTCTAAACACCTGACAGGTTGTTTGAGACAATTGATGAGAATCGCGATGGTAGTCTTTCACATTCTGAACTGAAAGCATTTATGATAGGAATCCGTTTTGAAGAAATAAACTTTGATAAGGATGATGCTGTGATAAAAGTAATGGCAGATTTTGATACCTCCCATGATTCTGTTGTTCAGCCGGAGGAGTTTGTTAAAGGAATCACAAAGTGGATTAATGAAGCAAAGCGAACTGGGGGTGCTTATCTTGAACCTAATTCTGGAACGTTTAAGTTTATTGACCGATTTTACCAGGTAAATTGAGCATGGATGACTTCTCTAAAGATTATAACTTGCACAGACTTACTTCTAATTATTCCGCAGCAAACCAAGAGAGAACATGATTTGTTGGGGCCGGAGGAACAAAGTGATGAGGTTGTTGATCGCGTTGAAAACCCTGGGTGGATCTCCTTCAAAGCTGTGCTAATGTTACTGTTGGGTACCATTATTGCAGCTGCATTTGCGGATCCACTGGTTGATGCTGTTGATAATTTTTCTGATGCGACAAGCATTCCGTCTTTTTTTGTCTCATTTATTGCATTACCATTGGCTACCAACTCTAGTGAAGCTGTATCAGCCATTATCTTTGCTAGCCGCAAAAAGCAGAGGACTGCATCTTTAACATTTTCTGAGGTCTGTTTCTTGTTACTCTGCTTATTTGTTGAGTGAAATTGATAATCATTTGATTGATTATCAAGCTCGTATATGAATTCTCATCTCCGAGTTTCTTGATGCAGCTTTATGGAGCAGTAACCATGAATAACGTCCTCTGCCTGTCAGTTTTCCTGGCACTTATTTACATCCGGGGATTGACGTGGGACTTCTCATCTGAAGTGTTGGTAGTTCTTATTGTTTGCATTGTGATGGGTGCCTTTGCCAGCTTCCGCACCACTTTCCCTCTTTGGACATGCTCGGTTGCTTATATCCTTTATCCATTTTCCTTGGCGCTCGTTTATGTGCTTGATTACATCTTTGGTTGGTCATAGGTTCATAAATGTGATGACTAATCTAGGAGGTAAGCAATTTGTTCCGAGCTTCATGGTTTTCCTATGTATAAACTACTGCTACTCTTTCAATTTGACATTGTAGTTCAGAGACTTTCCGGATTATTATTTTGTTAAATTAGTAATGTATCTGTTTTTTGGATCACTGTTCTTCAGTTTATCTAATAACTACAGCAGGTTACATGAAATGCTTGTCTGGCAAATCAAACCAGATAACTGTTTTGTTCCTTAAATCAATCTGTTTCTAGAAAAATATCATCCTTTTGCGTGTGTGAAAGTGGCCATACTATTGTGTGTATGAACGAATCTGGCTTCTAAGAAAGCAAAATATGTAAAGAAAGTTTTGAGCTGAAGGTTTAAAGAAGCAAAATTTTGGTTACTCTTTTTTTTCCAAGTCAACTATGACAAATGAGAAATACCTCGTTGTTTTGTTCATATAGGGTAGCATGGCAGATGCCACTCAAATGAAACTAGATTTCGGTTTCAAGAAGGTACCTGGGCTGGGATTCGAGCCGATTCTGGGGTAGCTTCAACAAGATCAGACGCTTATAGTCTTATTCATGTTGCTTCACGGCCCAAACTGCACCACTCCGCTCTGTGAAAAAAAAAAAAGAAAAGAACAAAAACATGGAGAAAAGGGAGAAGAAGAAGAAGATCATGCAAGTTAAAGCTCATTTTGTTGCGGTGGCTGATATTCCTAGAAACTTGGAACGAAAAGAATATCTTATGAAGCTAGCGGAATTGAATTGCATAGAGAAAAGAACTGCACTAGAAGCCACTGCCTTCAATTATTTTTTAACAAAACTACACAAAATGTCTTTATACAATGTTGACTTCAAACGCTAGTCTTTGTTTAATCAAATTGGCATCTAAAATCATTGATTTTATTTTTTGTAAATGGCTTGCACTTGACTTGATGCCATCAACCAACAGTGACAGTACCATCATTCATTTTTCCTTGTGAACAAAATATCAAGTTTTACTTTCTTTTTTTTTTTTTTAATAATTCAATTAAGGGTAGTTTTGATACTCTAACAATGGGGAGAAATATTTCTATTGGTGTCTGTTGACCAATAGAAGAGATGGGAAGCAGCAAAGCCATGTAATATAAAAATGACTTGAATAGATCATCTCAAACTCAATTTTTTTTTTTAACATTCACAACGAAGGATCATTGGATTCCAATTTTCAGGTATAGACTAAATTTGGGTCTAATTAATATCTGCATTTTGTCTTATATGAAGCAAAATTGTATCTTAGAAATGATTTGTGCCTTTGTTTTTTAATACAATTTTAGCAGTGGTACTCTTTATATTTTTTTTTCTTTTTCTCTATAAATTAATCAGTGTGGAGCCTGCCAGACGTCACCAACCTGCTACTTATATAACGAAGGGTCAAATTTGGGGGACCCATCTTACGAAGACCGGACAAGAATAATCAGATCCGTACAAATCCCACATGCAAAAGTTTGTTACCAATCAAAGTGCTTTGACTCACTGTCATGAGTCAACTTTGTACAAGGCAATGAACGAGTATAGGATGTAAAAAAAGTATTTTTGGAGTCACTTTTGTATAGGGTGGCAGAGGTGTTAAAAGGAAGGTTAAGAGTCACTTTTGCATAGAGTGGCGGAGGTGTTAAAAGGAAGGTTAAATCTTATGCGTTAAAAAAAGTATTTTTATTTTAAATATTATAATGATTTTTGATATCGTGGTTATAAAAGCTCTTAAATTTTCAAGAGGAGATGAACAGTTAGTAGATTATTGAATTATCTCATTGGTTAATATATATGTTAAACCATTGATCTAAGATTGTCCTTTTGATCTTAAAAATGGTGAGAACTCAATACTTTTTTTGTAATTTTTGTAATCATGTTAATATTAATAAAAAATTTTTATTAGGGTAACAGGGGTTGATTTGATGTGTACTTATTATATCATGATATTTTATTATGTATTTTTGAGATTAACTTGTGGTTTGTTGTGTATTAGTAAAAAGCATTCATTCAAGTGCTGCATAGTTTATTACATCATTAAGAGAAAATTTAATCTGTGATATGTAATATCAGAGCACGATTGAGAAGTGCTAAAATTAAAGCAAAGATGGTTACAACGAATGGTGGATCAAAGGATCACTAAAGAATTAAAAAGCTCAAAGCTGCGATGATCTCCTTGAAAGCTTATATAGTAACTTATAATCGATTGAGAGAAATCAAGATAATGTAGTGAAAGCTATCCAATACTGTTAATGGTGTGACTGATGAGACAAGAGATGCTATGAGCATTCTCCAGAGAGAGTTTGAGGAGCTCAAGGCTTAAGTGAGTGTCTACAATTCACTATGGCTAAGTTCAGCTCTAGTTCCACAGAAAAAGGAAAAAAAAAAAGCAAAGTTGCCAGAACATTTATACTATAAGGGGGCAAAGAGCTTGAGAACTTGTTTGATATGGAAAAATACTTTTGACTTGCGTACACAAACTCAGAGGAAAATAAGGTTGCCATAGCTATAATGTATCTTGCTAAGAATGCCAAGTTATGGTGGCGTTCAAAATTTGCTAATGATGAGTGCCCTATTAGAACTTGGAAGGACCTTAAGTAAGAGTTGAAAACCAATTCTTTCTTGAGAATGTATAGTATATAGTCAGATGGAAGCTTTGGAAATTGGTGCAAACGAAAACAGTGCATGAGCTTGTGAAGAGCTTTTTTACCTTGATGCTGGATATTGAGGACATGTTCGAAAATAATAAAATGTTCTCTTTCCTTGAGGGCTTTAAGTCATGCACTAGGATAGAGCTACAAAGATAAAATGTGTAAGATGTAGCCATTGTTATAGCTATTTCCGAACATCTTAATGGCTATAATGATAGCCCATCAAAACAAAAAAACCCTCTATCATGTGGCAGTAACTCCAGCTTTGAAAATGAAAAAAAATGACCAAAATGGACAAACCCTTAAGTGAAGGATCAGATAGAAAGCTTTCTAGTTGAGACAATACCCAACCTAAGTCAAATAATGCATCAAATTTTAAGCCAAGGTAGCTTGCTTTCTATGCTAGGGGCCACAACGGGTGGCTAAATGTCCATATACAAGTGCCTTTAATGTCTTAAGAGCTTCTTTTTAAAAGTTTTCCAAAGCACCTTAAAATTGTTGATGAAGTTAAAGATGAGCTAGTAAGGATAGCCTTAATACAGTCTTTTAGTGCTTTTTATACCTAACTAAACATGAGAAAAAAAGAAGTTGAGAGAGGTTTGATGTATGTGGACTTGGTGCTTAAAGGCAAAATAAAAAATGTCATGGTAGATATGTATGCAACTGATACCTTTATCATACTAGAAAAAACCAAGAGGTATGGTCTCAAGGTTAACAAGGATTGTGAGCAAATGAAAGTGATTAACTCGCTAGCTTTTACAATCAGTGGAAGTTCTAAGATGACCAAGTTAGGGCCATACGAAGGAAATATAGATTTTACTGTTTCCCCCATAAATGACTTTGATATTATCTTAGGATTGGACTTCATAATATTGGCTCAGGCGATCCCAATGCCTACTGTTAGTTATTTATTATTCTTAGGAGAAAGCTCGTGTGTTATGCCGCTACGATCCTCTCTAGAAGTAGGAAGAAAATGATTTTAACCTTGCAATTCAAGAAATGGGTAAGGAGAAGGAAACCTTTTTATGTAGCCATGTCGATTTCTAAAGACAAAATTGAGTTAGAATCATGCCCGATGGGGTAAAGAAAGTATTGGAAGAGTTTAAGAATATGTTGCCAGAATAATTAGCCAAAGTGCTACTTTCTCTTAGATTGGCAGACCATAAGATTAAGCTTTTCTCAAGAGTTACGCTATTAACTAAAGGCTCATACCACATGGCTCCACCAATGTTGGCTGAATTGAAAAAATAGGTAGATAAGCTTTTGTAAGCCAAATTCATTAAATTATTGAAAGCACCATTGGAGCACCGGTGTTATTTCAAAGAAAGCATGATTGGAGTTTGTGGCTATGTGTAGATTACAGGCCTTAAACAAAGTTATTGTGAGGAATAAGTATCATATTCCCTTTATTACGAATATGTTTGATCAACTAAGCTAGATCAAGTATTCTTTCAAACTAGATTTGAGATCTGACTACCATCAGGTCAGAATTGCTAAAGAAAATAAGCCCAAAACCACTTATGTAATGCAGTATGGTGCATTTGAATTTCTTATTATGCCTTTTGGATTGTATAATGCCCTGTCACGTTTTGTACCTTGATGAATCAAGTGTTCTATGACTATCATGATAAGTTTATGGTCATTTACTGAGATGACATAGTGGTATATAGTTTTACCTTGGAAGAGCACCAAGAGCACTTGTATCTTATGTTTCAAAGACTACAAAACAATTAGTTGTATGTGAAAAAGGAGAAATGTGACTTTGCATAAATATAAATTCATTTCTTAGGCCACATTATTGGACAAGGCCACAATCGAATAGATATTAAAAAGGTCAAGGCTATCAAAGAGTGGGTAACCTCGAGGAATGTCAATGAACTTTTTTTATTTTTTGGGATTGGCCAACTATTATGAAAGATTTATGAAAGGGTACTATTGCAAAATAATAGCCCTTACTGAGTTATTGAAAAAAGAAAATAAGTGGTTTAGGATAAACAGATGGCATGAAGCTTTTGAAGGTATAAAAAAACTATAATAAAAGACCTTGTCTTGGCTCTTTCTGACATTGAAAAGTTTTTTTTAAGTCCAAACAGATGCATCCAATTTCGCTATTGGAGGAGTGCTTTTACAAGAATGGCACCCTTTAGCATTTAAAAATTGAATGTTGAACGAGGTCAAAATGAGATATACGACTCAAAAGCTTCTGGCAGTTATCCATTATTTAAGGGCATGGCAGCACTACTTGTTAGGTTCCTAATTCATTGTTAAGATTGATAATGTTGTGGTTAATCATCTTCTCACCCAAACAAGCTTTTACCAAGTAAGCTAGATGGTAGGAGTTTCTAACTAAATTTGATTTTTGTTTTGAGCACCAAGTTGCAAGACTCAACTAAGTGGCGGATGCATTAAGTAGACGGACATAATTGGTATCTTTTAAGAGAATCACCTAGATGTCAGCTACTAAGATTATGACAAATATCCATATGCTAATTAAAGATAATTTAAAGAAAGACCCATAGGCTAGTGCCATCTTAAAGTTAGTAGAAAAAAAGAAGTTCAAATATTTTTGGTTGAAAAATGGAGCCTTACTAACAAAAGGGTCTCTAGTTGTTTGTGCCAAAAATAAAGGGTCTAAGGTATATGCTAATGCAAAAATGCCATGACACAATGTAGGTGAGTCACCTTGGTTGGCAACGTGATTTGGTCTTACTGAGACAAGGCTATTATTGGCCTTATATGCAGTAAGATGTGATAGACTATATAAAAACTTACCTCATTTACCAATAAGACAAAGTTGAAAAGAAAAAACTGACAAGCATACTTGAACTGCTACCCATACCCATGAGACCTTAGGAAAGTATCTCACTTAACTTCATATCGTGCTCCTTAAGGTTGGTGATTGACCGTTTCTCAAAATATATCACGTTCATTTAAGCCTAAAAGTATTGCACCTCAAAAGATATGACCCGTTTAATATTTAAACATGTGATCAAGTATTGGGGTCTTCCATAAACAATTGTAAATGATGGAGATTTGAGATTAATGGTTCATTTTGGAGAAAACTTTTCAAAAGTTTGGGATCTTAACTCAACATGTCTTTAAGTTATCACCTATAAATCGATGATCAAATTAAATGATTTAATAGGTTATTGGAAAAGTACCTGAGACACTTTGTTCAAGTTAATCGAAAAAATTGGCCCTTATTGTTGGATGTAGCCCAATTTTGTTTTAATT